GTAACCTCACTTCTCGCAGTGAGGGAACCGCCAGAAGGCCCTTGGAGCTGGACCTCAGTGTCTGGGCAGAACGATGGGGGTGAAGACGCTCCTTTGGGTATACTGGGCCAAGGTCGTTTAGGCCTTTAAAGGTCAGCACCAACACTTTGAATTGTGCTTGGAAATGTACTGGGAGCCAATGCAGATCTCTCAGGACCGGTGTTATGTGGTCCCGGTGGCCACTCCCAGTCACCAGTCTAGCTGCGGCATTCTGGATTAGTTTATGTTTCTGGGTCACCTTCAAAGATATGTAGCCTAACGTACCTTGCAGGGTTGTTGTTGTTGTTGTGGGGATTAAATGAGGAGGGGTAGAACCGTTTACACTGCCCTCAGCTCTTTGGAGAAAAAGGTGGGATATAAATAAGCAAGCAAGCTGTCTGCTTATATTTTGTTAGGCATCATTGAAAACCAATTAAAAAAATATACTACTCTTAAAAAATACAGAGGGTGGGGAGTTAGAGGATTGAAAGAAAGAAAGGAATGGAATGGAATGGCATCATTTTCAAAGTCTTTATTGGCATAAGTAAGTCATACAGAATTAACCTCACCGAACACCACACAAAAGCACAAGAGAAAAAAGAAGAGAGCAACCCATTTTTCGTATTATTTTTATTCTTTACAGTCCACGGCAACTCACACCCCAGTCAGACGGCAGAAATAATAAATACTTTTCCTTCGAGTGTAGAAAACTTTTAGAAATGGTCCTGTACAAAATTTACAATCCTCAAAGAAGAACCCTCGTGCCTTATATTTTCATTCCAGTTCAGAGTTTGGGGTGGGGGGTTTTTTGTTGTTGTTTTTTCTCTATGTGATTCCCCCCCGCCCCCTCTTTTGCACTAGAGTCAATGTTGGTTTGTTTGTTTTCCAGTGACGAGAATTCGGCAACAACCACCACAAAATAGATATATTTATATTCCATATACAGTTATTTATAATGTTCTTTTAAAAAAAGAAAGAAAGAAATCTCTAAATGAAAGGGGGAAAGGAGACACAATTCTCAGGGGAATGCTCTGCTATGCGTATCCTGTTGCAAATGCTTTTGGGGTGGCGGGGGGGGGGAGTATTCTGCGATTGAATAATAATGAAGGCTTCAATTCCTGCATCGCAGCGGGTTGGGCTAGATGACCTTTGGAGGCCCCTTTCCAACTCTACGATTCTGCGAATGAATGAATGGATTTATTTTGGTCACTGGCCAGAGTGACTATGATTCTGTGATTGTAAGGATGGGAGCTGCGTAAGAGCTCTGCCACACAGGATCGCTCGTTCTCAGCTCTGTTTTACTGGGGTTCGCACAGGAGAGCTTCCACTTTTGATTGTGCCTGCAATGATGTACCACAGCTCACTCTGTCAAGTCAGAACCAACACAGAGAAAACAAAAAGCAGCCATTAATTAAGAAGAAGAAGAAGAAAAAGAACCTGTACAGTGTCTGAGATTTGGCAAATACGTATGCATGTTGCCATATACATACAGGTTGTGAGTCTATATTCATATGTACAGAAGTGGAAACTGTGTATTTTACAGATAATGGAGTCGAAACGGCCAACGAAGTTTCCCCAATGCTCAGTGTTTTCATAACGTCATAACCCCCCACCCACACCCACCCCACGTACACAATGTGCACCCTGGGACGTTGAGAACAAGGGTGCATGGGATCCCTGGAGCTTTGCAGAGGTTTCAAATGTCCTGGTCACCCTCAAGCCCTCCCAGCTTAACATCTGCACACCAGTCTCTTGTATAGAGCTTGAGATCCGGAATGTCAGGAACTTCACGAGCTGCTACTGGACTGAGCAAATGGCAGCTGCAGCAAAATGTTGCAGCATATTCTCACTTCCCTTTAAACAAAAAAAACCCCTATTACATTTATAGCCCCGCCCCCTCTCCTCCAAGGAGCTCAAGGTGGCATTTAGACTGTCAGAATAGAACCTGGGAGACAAGGGTTCAAATCTCCCCACTCGGCCATAGAGCTCACTGGGTGGCCATGGGGGCCAGTGGTTGCCTCTCGGCCTAACTCACAGGGTTGTTGTGACGATTGAACAATGAGAACTGTGAACACCAGCTTGAGCTCTTTGGAGAAAAGGGTGAGATATGAATGTAACAAACAAGCAAACAAAACAAACAAACAAACAACTGGAAGGAAACTTCTGGACCCTTCACAACAAATGATTGACCGCTGTCATGGACTGGTTGGCTGCAGAGTGGTGGGAGACACCCCCAGGGGAAGGAGGCTCAGAGCCAGAGGGGTTGGTGGTGGGAGGACGATAATTGGTCAGAGAGAGAAGAGGGAGCAGATGGGAGGAGAAGGTGTCAGAAACTGAAGGGGCAACAGGGTTTAGTGAGCAGGAAGAGGCTGTGGCAGACAGCAGCCCAGAATCAGAGGCAGAAATGGAGGCAGGAGGGGAGTGGGGTCAGGAGAGAGAGGGGCCGGCTGCTGAAGAAGCCAGGGAGTCTCCCCCTCCTGCTGCGACCAGCTCCCCCCTTCCCTGGTCTCCTAAACCACGAAGAAATTAAGAAGACATAGCAGAGGGGGGTTGTGTGCAGGTCACTTGGGAAAGACCTTGGAGAGGAGGAGCCTGAAGAAGCATCAGGAAGGCAGGGACCTTCAGTCCTCGCAACAGCCTTGTTGGAGCGAGACCTACTGGGATAAAGAGTTCACTTCACTGACACCGTGTTTTAGCTCCAACTGCTCACCTACGCTAGACTCCAGCTCCTGGCGACCACACACCTCTTGCATAAGACCAAACAAAAATTCATTTGCAGCTTTAAACATACAAGGAATGTCTGCTTTGCATGCTCTTCCAGGGGGAGATGTCAGGAGTTGAACTCGGGACTCCCAGTGCAAAGCCTACCCACTGTCGCTGCTGCTGTGCTGAGGACCTTGCTTGTGGGCTTTCCCATTGGGGCATCCAGCTGGCTACTGTGCTAAAAGGATGCTGGACTAGATGGCCTGATCCGAGAAAGCTCTGCTTAGGCTATCGCCAGACAGTAACCCAATCAAGCCCATGGAACCCCCTTCCACAAGAAGCATTGACAGCCACCAAAAGAGGATTCAACAAGTTCGTGGAGGAGGAAAAGGCTATCAGTGGCTACGAGCCACGAGGGCTATATTCTGCATCCACTGTTGAAGGCAGCAATACTAATGGCTGGGAAATGCAAAAAGCAAGGGAGAGTGCTGTTGAGCTCAGGTCTTGCCTGTGGGCTTCGTAAAAGTGGTTAGTTGGCCAATGTGTAAGAACAGGATGCTGAGCCAGCAGGGCTGCCTTTAGGTTCTTGTACCTCTTCTCAGTTCTCACTCCCTGGATCCAGAACCAGTGGGGAGGTTGGGAGCAGCAAAAACTGCCGGTGATTTGGGATGTGCTGGTGGGTAGAACCAGGAGTTCAAGAGGAGACCATCTGCTACACAATGGTGCAGAAGGGGAGGGAGCTGTCTAGCACTCGGCATGAATTTCCATGAATTGATAGGATGCCAGCCTATCATTTGCACCAGGCATTCTTATTTTTGAAAGTCTCCATTAATCATAAGAAATCTTTTAAATTTTTTCTCTCTACACCCTTCCCTGATCTTTGCTATGTAGCCCCTCCCCCCACCAGCCCTCTTTAACCCCAGCTTTTATCAACTGATATTTATCCAGTGTAAAAATAGCCCCCTCTTCAGAATATAAGGGAAATCACCACAATGCCATCTAATAGGAGATCCGAGGGAGGGGCACGGGTCATCCGGTAGCTCGGATTTATGTGCAGGCTCCATAGAGACGTGGGTTTATTTAAAGATTTGCCTCGACGAGCTGCAGAACTTTCCCCCTCCCCACCCGCCCCCTCTCAATTTCAGGCAGTTGGGCTGGGCTTCTTACCAGCCTTCAGAGAGAGGCTTCTCTGCACTTTTCGACAATGTCAGCTTCTAGGGTTTCTGCCACCACATGTTGTGGGTCTAAACCAGGGTTTCCCCAACTTGGGTCTCCAGCTGTTTTTTGGGACTACAACTCCCATCATCCCTAGCTAGTAGGACCAGCGGTCAGGGATGATGGGAGTTGTAGTCCAAAATCAGCCTGGAGACCCAAGTTGGGGAAACCCTGGTCTGAACACAAGGCACATGCGGATTAATTCACATAGGATATGACCATTGTTTATGCACACTGTTATGAGTTTGCGGGGGGGGGGTCAGTCTGCATGATGCCCCTAGTCTCTTCTAATCCTTGATGTCCTGTATCTGTGGGGGAGGAATGCATAACAGCAAGCTTGCCAGGCCAGTCCCTTTATTAAGGTAATGACTTTGGCTAGCTAGTGAAGTACCACCATCAGCATAACCAAAGAAGGTGCTCTGTGCACCTATAGCGGAATGATTTGCTTTTGCACAAGAGCTTGGCACACACACAGAGAGAGAGACACGCATACCTGCTCCCATGTGGGTGTGCTACCGACAGTGGCCACCTCTCTGCACCAATTTGGTGTTCCTGTAGACCCTGCACTGCCACTCTGTTGGGGCATCCTGATCGCCTTACCTCGCTTCTCACCATGCTGAATATCTGCCAGCCGACAAGGGCTAAGAAACGACTGTGGAGACCAGCATGTTCCTCTGGGGAGTCGAGGTGCTAAGATAGCAGGAAGAGGGTTTCTTGTTCCCAGTCCATCAACAGGAAGCTAGCCAGCTCTCCAGCACTTAAGTGCTGAGCTGGTGACAGCTTTCAAAAAGGAGAATGAATTATTCCTGGTGAAATAGCTTCTTGGCAAATTTGGGAATCATACAGTTGGAGGAGACCTCATAATAATGGCCTTGCTGGATCAGGCCAATCCATGGGTGAATTTAGTCTAGCATCCTGTTCTCACACCCTGACATCTGGCATGTGTAACCGAGAGAGCAGTGGCGTAGCGTGGGTTGTCAGCACCCGGGGCAAGGCAAGTAATTTGCGCCCCCTAACCCGTGGATTTGCGCCCCCTAACCCGTGGATTTGCGACCCTAACCCTAACCCCCAGATGTTGCGCCCGGTGCGGCCGGCCCCCCTGCACCCCCCACGCTACGCCACTGCGAGAGAGAGAGAGAGAAGAAGCAACAGAGACAGTGAAGTAGGGCTGAAACAATAAATATACCATCACTGATGGCATGGATGGAACCTTTCTCAGCTTGAGGGCCACATTCCCCTGTGCACAGCCTTTTGAGGGCCACATACCAGTGGTGGGTGTGACCAAAAGTCCATGTGCACCCCCAACTTTCTATCCAGGCAAGGGAGAGGTATTATCACCGTTCAAGGACACATTCCAGCTAGGGAAAATTAACCAATGGGGGCACAGCAGGGGGCAGAGAGGGGTGTGGCCTTGGAGGCGTGGTCTGGGCAGAGTTCCAAGGGCCAAGGAGAGAGGCTCAGAGGGCCACATTAGATCTCCGGGGGCCTGAGGCTTTAGGAGTTATTGAAAGGTTCTAGAGACAAGGCCTCTTTCCCCAAATAAACCACACACACACACCACACACCCCTATGTTGGGAAACAGCTGAAAACCTCACTTCCACCACTAGGTGCAATGAAACAGGATAAAATGAAACAAAAACAAAATATTACACACACTGTTTCTATCCCTCTCCTCCGTTGGTTTCAGAGGGTGCTGGCGAGGTCCTAAGAACCTTTGAGTGTCTGATGAAGTTTGTTGCCCCCACTTAAGCAAGAATCACTGCTGGGGAGGGTTTCAAAGACCACCTGCCGCCAACTGGCCCTCCAACGTCTTTCGCACCCTGAGGGCGAGCAGAGGGCACCCCCCTCTGCTGCTTGCCTGGCAGGGGCTATCTGGCATCGAACCTGATTTTCACCCGCTCATGGGATCCTTCTGGACCCCCCAGCAGAGCGTGGTGCTCCTCCGGCTAGCCAGGAGGCGCTCCCCCTTCCAGAGACCAGAGCAAGTGCGTGTCTCCTTGTCCTCAGGAGCGCTCCCAAGCTTCGCTTCCCTGCTCCGGCCTCCTCGCAGAACAAGGAGAAGAGGAGGAGGAGGTGGTGGTGGTGGTCGACGAGAGGAAGAAAAGCGTACGAAAGGCACCGTCATTTTGAGCCATCCATCACAGCCTGGAAGGAAGCAGAGAGAAGGAAGGTGAAACAGGAGGATGGAGCAAATGAGGCAATGCAATTCCTTTGGAGGCTCATCTCACTGCATCCTGGGTAGGGTAGAAAGCAGGGAGCCCAACACTAGGTGGCGCCAGAGCCAGTGGCAGGCTGAGCCAACTGATGCTAGATCTGTGAGTTCTACAAGGGGGATTGCTGAGACTAAGGAGGAGGAGGAGGAGGAGGAGGAAGCGGACGAGCAGTGCTATCCCCCTGATTTGGTGGTAAACCAAAAGGCAGGTTGCCCCACTTGCCTTAATGCACCAACCTCACTGGGGTATTTATTTTTCTGACCATGGTACCAAGCTTTTTGCTCAATAATGCCAATCCCAAAACAGCTGGTCCTAATAATTGGAAAGAACTCCAATTATTATTATTATTATTATGGAGCTTCCAATCACACTTCGGAACTCCCTGCCTATTGGCATCAGGCAGCTGGATTCATTGTTCTCTTTTGGGTGTCTGATTAAAAACATTTTTTTGTTTAGGCAAGCCTATCCAGACAGGTATTTTGATGTGGTTTTTAGCTTATCATTGATTTTAATTATATTTAAATGTTATAAATTTTAAATAGTTGCTTTCATCTGTTTTCACTGACTTTCTTTTTTAAAATTTATGGCAATTATTTGAGGGATTTTTTAAAAAAATATAATCACATGTTATATAAATTTTATGAAATAAATAAACTAAAAAAGAGATTTATATATATATATATATATAAAAGTGTGTGGACCATTGGCCCGGTCTTCCAAAAAGCTCTACCTACTGACCTACCTATCTACCGTATTTTTCGCTCCAAAAATGAAGGGGAAATGTGTGTGCGTCCTATGAAGCGAATGCAGGCTCCTTGGCTTCAGCGATAGCAACGCGAAGCCTCCGAAGTGCAGAGGGAGAGCTCCCCCTGTGCTCCGGAGGCTTTGCGTTGCTTTCGCTGAAGCCGCCTGAAGCCCCCAGAGCGCAGGGAACTCCCGCTGCGCTCCAGGGGCTTCAGGCAGCTATCCGCAAGCCTTCGGAGCACAGCAGGAGTTCCCGCTGCACTCCGAAGGTTTGCGGATAGCCGCCTGAAGCCTGGAGAGTGAGAGGGGTCGGTGCACACCAATCACTCTTGCTCTCCAGGCTTCACTTTGCTGGAGAGGCGCTGCACAGTTTTCCCTCTCTGCGCAGCACCCCTTCAGCGAAGCGGGAGGAGAAATGGAAGGGGCTCCATTTCTCCTGCCGCTTCACTGAAGGGGCGCTAAGCAGAGAGGGGGAGATTTATTTTTTTTCCTGTTCTCCCCCTCCTATGGTCCGGTACATCCTATAGAGCAAAAAATACGGTAATTTCATTTCTGTCCCAATTTTTTCTCCAAGGAGCTCAAGGAGGTATACGTACTCCCCTCCCCCATAATTTTATCCTCATAACAACCCTTTGAGATAGGTTATGCTAAGAGGCAGTGACTGGCCCAAAGTCACCCTGTCAGCTTCACAGGCAGGGCAGGGTGGGGTGGAGATTCGAACCCTGCTTTGCCAAGCCCAAGTCCAACCCTCCAATCACTACACCACATTGGCTCTTAGTTATTTGCTTAGCAGAAAGTCTGGGGTGGAAAGAATTTTTGCAACAGCCACAGTTCCTGCTCAAAGGCCTCTGTCACCTCCCCTCTTGAAAACCCTCCCCAAGCTCTGAGCCCAGGAAGGAGAAGAAACATCTTGCAATGCTCACTTCAAGCTGTGAGCAGGCAGTTGGCTTAGCAACGGATGTGAGTGTGTGTTGGGGACAGCCCCAAATTTATACCCGAGGGAGATCTGTCAGCGCAGTGAGCGGTGCTGGAGGCAAGCGCCAGGCGGCCTCGGCTAGAATTCCTAAAGCCAGCTATTTTATCATAGCTGGGCTGCTGATAAGCCCTTGACATAAATGTCTCTGCAAGCTGATGGCTTAACTGGACCCCAGTTGGAACTGCCTTGGAACCTGCTCAAAGTACTCAACTCAGCAACATGAGGATTTATCAAGGAAGGAGCAAGTGAGTGCCTGCAGAGTGTACTTCTGTCCGTCGAGGCACTCCAGTCAAGGAACTTCCTCCCTAAACACATCTGTTTATCACTGCAGCCCTTCTGTTCTTTAGCCATCAGGAGACAGCTGTAATATCTACCAAAGGGTAGCCCAACCTCCTGCAATGTCACCTCCTAGTGCTTTAACTGTACAGGGGAACCTTGGTTCCCGAACGGCTTAGTTGACGAACAAATCGGCTCCTGGATGCCGAAAACCCGGAAGTAGGTGTTCCAGTTTTTGAATGTTTTTCAGAAGCTGGACATCCGACACAGCTTCCACTTGAGTGCAGGAAGCTTCGGCAGCCAATCGGAAGCTGCACCTTGGTTTTCGAACGGTTTCGGGAGTCGAATGGACTACTGGAATGGGTTAAGTTCAGGAACCAAGGTTCCACTGTATAGTGCATATGTAAACCCTGTAATTCAGTGGCATAGCATCTGATTTGCACGCAGAAGCTGCCAAGTTTGATCCCCAGCATTGCCAGATCTGGCTGGGAGAGACTCCCTGTCTGAAATCCTAGAGAGCAGCTGCCGGTCAGTGTAAAGGTAAAGATAAAGGAACCCCTGACCATTAGGTCAAGTTGTGACCAACTCTGGGGTTGCAGCGCTCATCTCACTTTATTGGCTGAGGGAGCTGGCGTACAGCTTCCAGGTCATGTGGCCAGCATGACTAAGCCGCTTCTGGAGAACCAGAGCAGCGCATGGAAATGCCCTTTACCTTCCTGCCGGAGCGGTACCTATTTATCTACTTGCACTTTGACATGCTTTCGAACTGCTAGGTTGGCAGGAGCAGGGACCGAACAACGGGAGCTCACCCCATCGCGGGGATTCGAACCGCCAACCTTCTGATCAGCAAGTCCTAGGCTCTGTGGTTTAACCCACAGCACCACCCACGTCCCTGCCGGTCAGTGTAGACAATGCCAAATTGAAGAGACAAATGATCAGCCCAGGAGCTTCCTCTACTCCGAGGATGTCGGTCTTACTCTGCTGACTTCCAGAAGTGTCCGGGGTGAGAAAGGCGACGGTTCCGCTTTGGCAATTTCTCCAGCATCTCCATCAGCTTGGTGAAGGTCGGCCGTTCCTCTTGCTCAAAGGCCCAGCAAAAGAGAAGGATGTCCTGCAAGGCAATGGGAAGGAAAGGATGTGCAAAGGAGGAGAGTGCATGGGCACATGTCCACGTGTGGTTTATTTACACATATATGCAAACTGAGCCAACGATGGAGGGGCTCACAGCATTCCCACCCCAAAAGGGTCTCTCTCTTTTTCTCCCATAGCCACAGCCTTGGACTCGAGCAGAAATCAAGCGTTGTTCTGTCTCTCTCAGTACCCAGCTTGCTGCTTTGCTTCTAGCACACATGATTTCCAGCTCTCAATGCTTGCCTTTGCCTTTTTCTACCAGCCAGTTGAGGGAAGGGGTCCCTCCAACCATTTGGCTGTCTCACATGGGTCCACTTCTTTTGTTCTCCTAATGGCCCATCACCCAGACGATCACCTCATCAGGAAGCTAGTTTTAACACTTGCTGGATCCAGGGGTTAGAAGGGTCTCTGCACACACCCGTCTTTCCCCCTCCCCAAAACTCATAACGAAATGTAAAATGTAAAGTATGGTGTCTTCTATCCAGCGTCTACCAATCCCCGGGGTTTCCTTAAATCTCCTTTCCAGAAAATGTGACTCCCATGGGGCACCTTGCACAAAAGTTAAAGCTCGATCGTGAAAATCCATCAACATTTTGGTGATAGTTTCTCCCTAATGAACACATATTTTGTATGCCGTTTTAAGTAGTGCACACATTTTTGCAATCAGTTTTTCTTAACAGGGATCATCTTTATCTCTTATTTTTGTGAATCCCTTTGTTTTCATGCATGCTATACCCTAAAATATGCATTTTTTAAAAGCCTGGCTGGTTTGAGCACGGCATCCCCAAATCCGAGTGAGTGTGACTCTTGAAAGATGGCCGTATTTCAGCCCTCGTGTTGTATCGGAAAGTGCAAAACGGATCGATTCGCCTCTAAACGAGAACTGAATTGAATTTCTCTCCCTTCCCCCGATCTGTGAGTCACCAAGATGAGCAAACATCAACATCTTTCCAAGTCTCTGTGCCTTCCCTCCCCCTTTCAAAGAGTCCCAAGCCACCTACTGAGATCTCCTTGCCCATGCCAATCTGGCTGAGATTTGGCTTCATCCCTCGGCCAACTTGCCAAATTATGGCCTCGGCAGGCTGCGTCTTGAATGGCCATTCCCGAGCATGCAGTTCATACCAGATGGTGCTGTTGGGAAAGAAAGCAGCGTTAGTAACGCACAAACCTTACACCTCTCTGTGACATCTGCAGAGACTCCCAGAGCTCAGGTGTGGGGTTGCGCCATCATCCCCGTCAAGGGATGGGGACCTTCAGGTCTCTTGGGCCAAAGATGGCCCCTCGGGACTCTCCCCAGGGCATAAATAGTGAAATAATCATTATGGAATGGGATGTCCCTATTTTCATAGGAGAAATGTTGGAGGGTATGCAATCATTCAGTTCTCCAAAAAGTCTATGAGCCTACAGTACCTTTCCAGGAACTGTGCTGGTCAGACCCATTTGGTGGGACTCAGCAGTACAAGGCAGCTCTTATCATTTATATTTGATGAGGAACTTTTAACGAGTGAATAGCTGCAGAATTATGGGACGCGCGTGGTGCTGTGGGTAAAAGCCTCAGCGCCTAGGACTTGCCGATTGAAAGGTCGGCGGTTCAAATCCCTGCGGCGGGGTGCGCTCCCATTGCTCGGTCCCAGAGCCTGCCAACCTAGCAGTTCGAAAGCACCCCCGGGTACAAGTAGATAAATAGGGACCGCTTTCTAGCAGGAAGGTAAACGGCATTTCCGTGTGTGGCTCTGGCTTGCCAGAGCAGCGATGTCACGCTGGCCACGTGACCTGGAAGTGTCTCCAGACAGCGCTGGCCCCCGGCCTCTTGAGTGAGATGGGCGCACAACCCCAGAGTCTGGCAAGACTGGCCCGTACGGGCAGGGGTACCTTTACCTTTACCTAGCTGCAGAATTGAGCTTCCATGTTTAGGAGCATGTTTCCTCTTTTAAGTTCAGTTCTCCACATTGCCACATCAGTTTGCAATAACTATTTTTTCCCTGTAAGTCCTCGTGAAAAGTTGTCCACATTTTACTGTACATTTATTCTAGCATCCACATTTTTGTATGCAAAAGTTTCACTAATAATTTATGCATTACTTGGCTAGAGTACTGCAGCATGAAAATCCACAGAAGTGCAGATTTCAAGGGACAACTTTGTTTCAGTTTCCATATCCAGTCTACATCTGAAGTGTAGGTTGGGTAAAATTGTCTGTTTTCTGAATGACTGCTTTTCCATGGATTTGTATCAACATCCTGCTTGATCTGTACAATGGTACCTTGGTTACTCAAACAACTTGGAACCCAAACACAGCAAACCCAGAAGTAAATGTTCCGGTTTGCGAACTTTTTTCAGAAGCTGAATGTGCTCCGTTTTGAGTGTTACAGTTCTGATTTGAGTGCCACACTTCCAATTTGAGAGTCTGTCTGTTTTTGCTATTTATTTTGTGTTTTTGTTTTTGCGGCTTTTTTGTTGTTTTTGTGACCCAGTTCAGTTACTGATTGATTGATTGATTGATTGTGTGACTGCAGTACATTGCTTCTTGCTTTCATTTTATGGATCAATGCTCTTGTTAGATAGTAAAATTCATGTTAAATTGCTGTATTCTCATTTCTGTGATACAGATTGGGGTGTAGGGGTATGGACTTGTGAGGGGAAATTTTGTGGTTCTGTCACTTTTTCGTTTAGATGTGGCAGCCATTTTGTTATATGCCATGCCCACACAGTAGCCATTTTGTGACTTGCCATGCCTTCCCCTTCACAGCAGCCCTCATGCGACTGGTTCTCATGATGCTTTCTAAGATTGCAACCTGTGTCAGAAGCCCCCAAAGGCTTGACAACCCCTGTGGTTCGCCCTTTGTGGAATCATACAAAGTTCGCTGAAAAATAGCAGCCATTTTGAACCAAGCGCCTGTTACTTTGTGTGGTTTAAAAAAAAAAAAAAGCCTGGTGTTTTTTCTATGCAAACTTTCAAATTGAAAAAGTTTGCTAGGAGCTTAGTCTGATTTTTAAAAAAAATCCTATAATTACTTTCCCCCGCTGTATTTTTGGTTAAAGTTATACTGAAAGCATATACTGGGTTTAATTGCTGTATTTTTTGGATGAAACTGCGCTATCAGATAAGAACTCAGTATAAGCTAATCGCTTCAACGCTGCGCTCTTTAAGGTGTCTATCACAGTGGAGTAGGGGAAAATTAATCCATCGAATAAAAAACTATAGTCTTCTCTGTGCCTGAACAAAGATATCATCAGAGGGCAATGGGACTGCTTACAAAAAGGATGTCTCCACCTCCCTCTGCAGGGCAATTAATCACACAAATGAAAAGTACATTAGGGGAGACACAATGCCCACAGTTTTGCACTGTAGCTCCTAAACTTTTTCTGTTCAGGACATTCACCCAAGAGGCATCTCTCCATGCACAAGACTCAACTATCCCACCCACCCACCCCCCACTTGTCATGCCCCAGCATCTGGGGATGAACACTAATGTTGCCAGTGTATTAGCAGCAGGGATGGGATAACAGAATCATAGAACTGTAAAGTTGGAAGGGGTCCCACAGATCATCTAGTCCAACCCCCTGCAATGCAGGCATTTTTAATTAAAGCATGCCTGACAGACGGCCACCCAACCTCTGCTTACAGAGAGAGTCTACCATCTCCCTACGGAGTCTGTTCTACTGTCGAAATTCAGGTCTCCGCATTTCTTCAGCAACCTGCGATTCGCTTTTATCTGTTTTTAGTGCCTCGTGAAAATCCACCAGCATTTTCGTGCAAATTTCTCCTAACAAACACATGCAGTTTTGAGGAATCATTTGCAAGCAATTTTCCCTGGTATAATGCACTTCCATACTTCATTTTCACCAATATGTGCATTTGTAGGCATATGTGTAATACCATAGGCTAGTCCCACTTCTCTCTATCCTCCATGCACGCAAGCAAGATCTAGATCAGAGATCTAGGACACATTCCAGCTAGCCAGAAACATCTTAGGACAGTGCAAAGGTAGAGGAAGAAGAAGAGTTTGGATTTGATATTCCCACTTTATCATTACCTGAAGGAGTCTCAAAGCGGCTAACATTCTCCTTTCCCTTCCTCCCCCACAACAAACACTCTGTGAGGTGAGTGGGGCTGAGAGACTTCAGAGAAGTGTGTCTAGCCCAAGGTCGCCCAGCAGCTGCATGTGGAGGAGCGGGGAAGCAAACCTGGTTCACCAGATTACGAGTCCACCGCTCTTAACCACTGCACCACACTGGCTGGTGAACACCCCAAGGGCAAGAGAAGAGTCAGCTAAGGGTGCTGAGAGCTGTTAAGAGACCCTCTATTATTCCCAGAGCGGTTTATCAACCAGTCCCTTTTCCCAGGGAACCCTGAGAATTGTAGCTCTGTGAAGGAAACAGGGGCCTCCTAACAACCCTCAGCACCCTTAACAAACTACAGCTCCCAGGTTTCTTTGGAGGAAGCCATGCCTGTTCAAAGTGGGATGGTAACTGCTTTAAATGTACAGTGCAGATGGGACCCAAGTTTGCTCATCTCTTTGGTGGGCGCATGAGCCTGGTACCAGAAAGCAAACACATTGGCCCACTGCATTCCGTTGCCACCCCCCAACTCACCCTCATGCAAAAAAGGAACCTACCCAAGGGCAAAGACATCCGAGTGCTTGGAGAAAGGAAGCTTGTCTTCTTCTGTGTCAGGTGAGAGCTGGTGGATGATCTCCGGAGCTAAATGGCATAACCAGCCGTTCTGGATCCGCAGTTTGTTTTCTCTCCTACAGAGAGAGACAGAGAGAAACACCCAGTGAGGGAGCCTGTTGCTGGTCTTGGCATTTCCACACATTTCAATTTATCTTACCATTTTACCATTTATGAATTTAATTATTCACAGTGTATATATGCCATTTTTCCAAATGACCTCACACAGCAGTTTATGTTACGATTATAACATAATGCAATGGCATATTGCTATGGAGATTATCATATTTCTTTGTTTCCAGGTGAGGATGGGTGTTACAAGTAGCAGGTTGGTGAATCTGTCTATTACAGTTTATCTCAGTTTCTCACACCCAAAAGTCTGCCTCCTTGTCCACAAACGTTCCTGGCTCCTAAGATCAGCAGAGGGGGTCCTCTCAGTTGTTCCACTACCAACAGAGGCTGAGGGGGTTGTGGCCCAGAACAGGGCCTTTTCTGTGTTGGCTCCAAAGCAGTGGAACTCCCTCCCCAAAGGTGCGTCTGGCACCTTCATTGTACAGCTTTTGGTAAATGCTGAAGACGCACCTCTTTACCCCGTCTTTTGGCAGGTCTGGCATTGTTATATTATTACATCTGACCCTCCAAGTGTCCCTGTTTTCCAGAGACATTCCTGATTTAGAGAAGCCATCCCGGTTTCTGATTTGATCCCAAAATGTCCTGCTTTTCCTTAGGACGTCTCTATTTTCATTGGAGAAATGATGGAGGGTATAAAGTTATCTGACCCCAGAGCCATCTGAAGGCAATTCTGTATTGGGAGGTTTTTTTTTATTACGTAATAAATGTTTTATTACGTTTTTATATATATTGGAAGCAACCCAGTAAAATATGTGGGGTATAAATAGTAAAATAATCATTATGGAACGGGACATCCCTATTTTCATTGGAGACGTGTTGGAAGCTATGTTACACTCATTGTTCTTGTTTCTGTTTATATCCTACGTATGCTGGAATAAAATAAATAAGTACATATTCTGGCTAAGTAATAAGCACTCCTGGAGGCTGTGAAGCAGCACCAACAAGGGGTGTGGCCTAAGGATAGGGGGTGTGGTCTGAGAAAGTTCCAGAGGCTGAGCAGAGAAGTCTGGGGCTCCACAACTATCATTGAAATCAGGCTTCCTTCCGTGGTGCAAACTCGGCCCTCCAGATGTTTTTGGCCTACAACTCCCATGATCCCTAGCTAGCGGGACCAGTTATCAGGGATGATGGGAACTGTAGGCCAAAAACATCTGGAGGGTCGAGTTTGAGGAAGCCTGGTATAAATTAAGTATTTAAATGTATTTATTTATTGATTAAAAATTAATATCATTAAAGTAACTAAATAAAACTATCACTACTGAAAAATACAGAAATTAGTATGAAATTGGTATTAAATTAGTATTAAATTAGTATTAACTTTAGTATTAAAAATACTGAAAAATACTGCAAATGAATGACTAGATAAGTAACTTTCCCTAGGATTAGGAAGAATGCATCTGCAGGTCTCTCAGAAAAAGATAACGCTAATCTTGTAAGCGTTGCTTTAAAGCCAAATAAAACCTTTAAGAAACAGTAAGCTGCCTTCTTCTCTAATACACAATGTTCCGGACTGGTGCAACGAAGCACAGACGAAAATATATATATATATATTTGGGGTCACCCTGCTCGCTTTCTGGTTTAAAAAACTGAAAGAGCCAATGAGAAAGTGCTTCTGTAATTGGATTTGTTCAAGACCTCCGAGGCTTAGGAATTAATTTAAAAAGAGACGGGATACATTTTAAGAACTTGGGCGGGCGACGGGACACAAAGGAAAACGATGGCGCCGGAGCGTGTAAGGTAAGACGGTGCCAACTTTCCCCCTCTCACTGTTGCAGCCATATTATACTCCGTGCTCAGTATCACATCGTGGTTTCATTGCCTTGTTGCCAGGCGGACCTCCCATGCAGAGGACATTGGTCCATTAGAGCAGGTGGGGCAGTGCCCCACCAACTGCAATATACCCTCAGCAAGCCCCCACCCCCTTGCCTATCTTCTTATAACCAGCCCAGTGGGTGCCACTGTTGGTCAGCTTCCTCCTCCATAGTCTTAGTGTCATGTTTATAGATCTCACCAGTGAGGAAGCAAGGGACAAAACTGGAATTGGCTCCACCTGCCATTGTCTCTGGCTCCACCTACTGCTGGCCTCCTGCCTTACACCCTCCCTGTCCTAGTGGACAGCAGCAGCCACCACTGATCTTCATATTCCCATTCCCTGACTACAGATCCTACTGCAGTCAAAACTGAACCATCCACAGCTTCCTCCTCCTTGGAGCTGTCAGGTTTGACCTCCTCCTCGGTCTCAGGTTTTACACCCTTGTGAGAGCTGGACAATAAAGAAGGCTGATCGCCAAAGAATTGATGCTTTTGAATTATGGTGCTGGAGGAGACTCTTGAGAGTTCCATGGGCTGCAATAATAATAATAATAATAATATTTTTTTATTTATACCCCGCCCTCCCCAGCCAAGGCCGGGCTCAGAGCGGCTTACAAGCAATAATAAAAACAAGAAGAATGATTACAACTTAAAAACAAAAATAAAATACAACATTAAAATAATGGAACATTAAAATATTAAAATATAGCCTCATTGCAGGAGGAGAAGGAAAAGAAAAAAGAAAGAGAGGGAGGGAGGGAATCAAATTGGCTCCAAGCCAAAGGCCAGGCGGAACAACTCTGTCTTACAGGCCCTGCGGAAAGAAATCAGATCCTGCAGGGCCCGGGTCTCGTGAGGCAGAGCGTTCCACCAGGCCGGAGCCAGAGTTGAAAAGGCCTTGGCTCTGGTTGAAGCCAATCTAACTTCCTTAGGGCCTGGGACCACTAGGGTGTTGTTATTTATGGACCTTGAGGCTCTCCGTGGGGCATACCAGGAGAGGTGGTCCTGTAGGTACGAGGGTCCTAGGCCATGAAGGGCTTTAAAGGTCAAAAGCAGCACCTTAAATCTGACCCTGTACTCCACCAGGAGCCAGTGCAGCTTGAAAAGCACTGGGTGAATATGCTTATGCCAACAACGTGGAGAAATGGCATTTCTCGGCAAAGCAGAAAAAAACACAAAAATGCCTGTTATCTGGGGTGCCAACCTGAATAAAATATTGGGGGGGGGGCAGGTAAGCCCCGCCCCGCATAATCAATCACATGACGTGGTGCAAACACACAATTCGAATGGCAATGCCCATTAACATTGGAGGGCCACGGCCTCCTCTAATATTTTATCAGAGGGGCGAATGGACCTCGGCCGCTGGGAGTTGGCTCCTGTGCTTGTTATGGAGTTATCCAGCCAAGAATTCCAGCACCTCAAATGAGTTCTGATTGTTGGCTTACAGGGCAATCCAAAGGCAAGGTCCACCAGGATGAGTATGGAGGAGGTGGGTCTCAGGTGGTCTTAACTGAGCCAGGGCTACGCCGGCATAACTCCCACATCCTGGCTCAGCCAGGGGTACCCCGATGTAGCTCCCTCAACCCAGCATTTCCTTGGTTAGTTTCTCCATATTCTTAAGTAAATAATTAAATACCCTGCCCAGCCAGGACTAGGCTGGCTCAGTCAGGGCTTAGCTGGCAAAAGTTAAGCTGGTGTAAGTCCCCCCTGCAAAAAAAATGGATGTTCCAGGCTCATGGCTGGACGGGGACGGGGGAGGAGAGATGTACACCTCTTTCAATCCTCTTTCAGCTGAACCACATGGCCTGGCAAACCCAGCGGAACGTACACTGACAAAAAAGGGGGATATACGGTAAGTCAAACTCTGGTTTGAAGATTTGTTTTCTGTCTGCCAGGCTTGGGTTGGCTCAGCCAGAAGGAGCCCCTCTCCTGAACGGAGTTTGGAACAGGGGTATATTACAGCACCTTACCTGAAGCCACTGAAGCAAGTGACGCCAGCTTCCTATAGCTAGGATCGCTCTGTTCGCTTCTTAACAATTTGTTCCAGTAACTTACATTCCATCCACCACAACCAAGAAACCACAGATGAAAATGGGGACTCGTAAAAAGCCCTATGCTAATTTCAAAAGTCACTGCTTCGGAGTATCCCCCCGCCTCCAATTTTATATATATGGCTGAATCTCCACTCCAAATGCTTTATTCATTTACTCTTCAGCAGTTCATTTGGAAAGCCAGGGGAAAACTGCTCTTAAGGTTGAAATATACAAAATCAAAATCAAATGGCCTCGCAGCCTGTTATTAACAGTTCGTAAAGGAGCCTTGCAGGGATGCGGGTGGCACTGTGGGTTAAACCACAGAGCCTAGGGCTTGCCGATCAGAAGGTCAGTGGTTCGAATCCCCGCGATGGGGTGAGCTCCCATTGCTCGGTCCCTGCTCCTGCCAACCTAGCGATTCTAAAGCACTTCAAAGTGCAAGTAGATAAATATGTACCGCTCCGGCGGGAAGGTAAACGGAGTTTCCGTGCACTGCTCTGGTTCGCCAGAAGCGGCTTAGTCATGCTGGCCACATGACCCAGAAGCTGTACGCCGGCTCCCTTGGCCAATAAAGCGAGATGAGCGCCGCAACCCCAGAGTCGGCCACAACTGGACCTAACGGTCAGGAGTCCCTTTACCTTTAAAGGAGCCTTGCAGAGTCGTGGGATGGTGGGCCATACATGAGTGTTCATGCATGGGCAGGGCTGAAGGCCTTCAAGCCAAGGGGTCAACTTGTGCCCTCCAGGCTTCTCTGTCTGGTCCTTGGGACTTTGCCCAGGCCACATCCCTCGCAAGCCCGACTTGTCACGCTCACTGATGGTCTTTGCCTCACTGGAAAGTCTTCTTGAATGCCTGGATGGAGGTTAGAGAGGGGCGTGGGCAGGTGTGTGAAGAACCTCACGTTTGCCCCGCCTGCTTTTGCTCCTGGCCCCACCCACCACCAGCACGTGGCCTCCAGAAGCCTGCACAGAAGGAAATGCGGCCCTCAGGATGGCCTTAGAACACAGGCAACTGCCTGGTGATGCTGGGAGCCATCACCAAGCCTAGAAGATGCCTCCTTATCTTCCAAGGTTCTCAAGCGTGCCTTCCAGCCACTCAGA